GTCCAAACCGGGCCTCAATATCTTGTTTCGTTCGAAAGATATTGAGGGTCCCAGGTTTTGACTTCCACCCCCCCTAGCGCCCCCCCAAAATTTTTTGGGGGTCTGAAAATTTGGGGAAAGAAGCGCTCCAGTATTAGTAACTGATAGACGAAGTTTGAATAAGTTTTAGTGGGGGGGCGAAAAATGTCGTTTTTGCATACGGCTCTTTTGCACATTTTTTATTGAGAATGATCCTTAAGGCTCATGCGCCGGGGCCATCGTCCTTTTTTTTTATATTTCAAATTTAAAATATTCACCCTCTTACATAGAAATTTGAATGTTTTCGATCAGACTTAAACTTAAGACTAAGACTTAAAATCAAGACTATTATAACGGGAGTTTCTTGCTAAGAAGTCAAAATCCACCAAGATTTTTTACTGAATCGATGCGATGTATCAGCCACTAGTTCAAGCACGCCAAGAACCCTGTGGCATGGCATGCTTTACGATAAATCGATTGATCTGCCATTTAAATCCGTGGTAAAGTATCGATAATCAGGGTGTTCTCGACGAACACCTTAATAATCGATTCTTTATCATAGCTTCAAATGGGGAAATATCGATAATCAGTCACCCACGCCTCGCCACTGCAAGAGCCCGAGATGAATCACCCTTAATGTGGGAAACCTTGAGGACCTTGTCCCACTTTGACCTTGGGACACCAAATTTCTTCTCCATACATGATCAACAGACAACCTCGTCCCATCACCTAGTTTTTTTTTTTTTTTTTTTTTTTTTTTTTTTTTTTTTTTTTTTTTTTTTTTTTTTNTTTTTTTTTTTTTTTTTTTTTTTTTTTTTTTTCCGGAACCGTACAACTAGATGTTGATGCGTTGACGAGAGGGTGAAGGTTAACCGATCCGGATACCCGTGAAGGGAGGCGAGGGAAGTGTCCGGCGATTTATTAGGCACACACGGGCAGTTCATAAATATGAGCTGACGTTGAGTAGAGGTATCGCGGGGCACCATGGCCCCCATGGGACTCGTATATCATCGAAATAGGCGCGAACGGCACGCACTCCGTCCAGTAGCCGAGCGAGAATCATCGACTATCTATATTTTCCCATTTGAAGTAATGATAAAAAATCGATTGTTCAATTGCCCGTTGCAAAAACGCTAATAATCGATATTTTCCCATAGGTTTAAATGACAGATCGATCGATTCATCGCAATCGACTCCATCTGATCCAGAGGGCGCGTGTAGAGGCTATCGGACGTTACCGCCCGAACATGGATTCGATGTTCCATTCGGTCGTTCACTTGTTTTTTCGTCTACGCACTATCCTACGGGGGCTGAAACGCACGTAGATGCGATTCCTGAAAATATCACTTATGGCTCTAAAATTTTACGATCGTCGAACAACCCGGAAGGATTTTGTTATCGATCTCTATCAGACTGGATTACACCTCTTCGTAATGTAGTTCGTATTTAGCTTTCGCTCGAGGTAAACGGTGAGATGAAAGGATGCGCGATGCGGTCTAATCTCAAGTCCATGCAAAATGGACTAAATTTTGCAATGAGGAATTAGAATGCTAAGCTCATTTCAGAAACAACGTAAATTGCAAATTTTTCCTAGTCGTTTTCTTGACTTCTCATTTCCTCTTTACTTCTCATTTTTTCCTTTCTTCCTCATTTTCTTTCTCCTTTTTTATCCTTCTCCTTCCTTTTCTCCCTCTTCCTATTTTCTGACTCTTCTTCTCTTCTTTCTTCATATTGTTCTTTTCTCCTTTCTTGCCTCTTATTTTTCTCCTTCCATCTGCCTTGTCTTTTCTCATTTTCCTCATTTTCTTCTACCACCTGCTTTTCCTCCTATTTTTTCTCGTCATTATTATTTTCTTCTTCTTCCATTCATTACCACTCCTCTTCCCCTTTTCCATCCTCTTCATCTTCTTTATCTCTCTCCTTTATGCTCGCCTTCCTTATCCTCTATTATCTCTTTCTCTGTCTCAACATCCTCTTTCTATTATTCTCCTAAAGGAATAGTATACTATTCCTCCTCTCCGACATAAAATTTTCCGATGCAGATACACATTTCAGTGAATTAGCTGCAGTCATAACCAAAGTGATTCCTCATTGCAAAATTTAGTGCAGCCGTAGCACTAGAGAGAGCTGCTAGAAGAGCTGCGTACACCGCGCGCAGTGCGACAAGAGGGAACGCCTTCAATCTTCTCTGCATGCAACATGGACATCCTGTGAGCACGAATAGTTGCATCCTGCGATTGTCACCTTTCCGTCGTTGACTTTCCGGACAGCCTCTACGAGTATATGGTCCATACATAGGTCTCTTAATTGGAAGTATCTCCTCTAAGCGGATCTGTAGATGAGTGGGAAAGATGGGATATGCTCTAGGGAGCTGGATAAGAAACAATATAAAAGTGGGCGTGGTTCCCTTTGGAGAAATGGAAAAGCGGAATTTTACATTCTACCAAACGGAGCTAAGAGCCAACTGTTTGCGATACTCATGAACCGTAGGCAAGAGGGAAGAGCATTTCGGACAGGGCTCATGAGTTAAAGCGGACCACGTATGACCGCGTCAGCGGCTAAATCGCCGCTGACGTCACTAGCGGATTATAATTCTCATTCATTCCTACACAGTGGATCGAGTCAATCAGAGAGGTCGGACATGACATTTGTGACTAAAACTGCAAATTTTGAAGCGTCACATTTTAAATATTAAGGGATGCCTAAAGAAGAAAATTTCACGAAGAAACCAATGGAACCACCTCAAAGTTTTGTATAAACGGAGTAACAAGCGTTTAAAGTTTCCGAATTTTTTCCGACCTCTTTAATTGACTCGATCCGCTGTGCGGCCCTTGACTTATGGCCTGGTTACACGCTCAAATTTCCGTCAAATTCCGATCAAAATGATGACCGAGATGGCCTTCGAGAGTTATCTAGATTGATGAGTCAAAATAAGTAAAACAGCGTGTTGATTGAAATAAGCATGAAATAAGCACGGTTGTGTGGAAATCAGATGAAGGATGAGCCCCACAGCTCCATCATCTATTATCAAATTTTTGCAGGCCGCAGAAACTTGATGGTAGATAGTGCGCACCAGTCACCATTTGATCGGAATTTGACGGGAATTTGATCGTGTAACCAGACCATAATGAGCACACTCCTTCTCTCCCACCTGTCTCTGGTTCCGCTCAGCAGAGAGTCCAATCCCTCTTCATCTTTGTCCTTCGTTACGAATCGACGTTTGAGTTTGATTTTGTTTGTGTTGCAGGTCGAAGGTGGCGGCGGCGCTGCTGAACAAGCACCTGCAGATCAACGGGATCTCGGCGGCGGGGCTGGGGGCGCTGCCGCAGGAGCCCGGGAGCGGGGGCGGCGTGGGCGTCGGAGTAGGCGTCGAGCAGGAGCAGCACATCATCGAGCCGGACCCCAACTCGGGGCAGATGCGCCCGACGCCGATCGCCTCCTCGAGCAAGATGAAGCGCGAGCGCAAGGCCGCCCGCACCCTCGGCATCATCATGAGCGCCTTCCTCACCTGCTGGCTCCCTTTCTTCCTATGGTCAGTCAAAATAATTATACCTGGAGTCCCTTTATACTCAAAGTCAAGACAACACCCCCTCATGGAGTCACAAACGGGAATAAAGATTACACAAATTGAACGTTTTTCGTAATCTTTGATCGGCCCATTCTCAAATTCCTTTCTCCGTTATATTCCTTCTCTTATTCCGTTTGTTCCTTGCCGAACCCGTAATTCCCTGGTCCATTCCAGATCATAATCTTTGCAATCGGTGAAAATGTAATCTTTACTCCCGTTTGTGACACTGTGAAGGCCTAAAATTCGGGAACCAATCAGAAATGGATTCACATTGTCTTGACTCTCTGTATGAAGGGACTCAAATTATACCTACTCTGCCATGCTAAGGAAGAACGCCAACGAACTACGACACCTCTAGAATGGCCGCTAAATAGCAAACCTGCGTAACACGCATGGGCCGGTTTTGAAAGCAGGAGGGGGGTGGGAGCCCAAGTGGATTGCATTTTGCAAAAAGGAACCGCTAGCATTGCAATGATGCTAAGATTGTGCAACTTCATCTTCTGCAATAAAATTGCGGAAATCGTGAAAAACTATGAAATTTAGATGGTAATTTTTGTCTTAAATTTACAGTTTTTAGCGAGTAAAATAGAAACTATTAATGGATAATCGGGGTTTTCCTCCAAGACAAAAGAAGTTGCACAGTCTTAGCAACATTGCAATGCTAGTAGTTCCTTTTTGAAAAATGCAATCCAAGTATAGGTAACCTCAATCTCCATTTCTGCTGCGTCTTGCACATAAGGACTACATTTGTAAATTTCAACCTTGGTAAACTTTAATTATTTTGAGGTTTGCTTTCACATTTCCTATCTTTTGAGTTAAGGAAACCTTTTAAGATGCGATTATTATGCCATCTTTTCATTGCTATCACTTTATTCAACAATATTCGGCAAAATGTGGGCAGTGTCTAACATGGGTTTAGATGGCAGCTTGCCGTGTGAGCCCAAGTAAACCTAACCTATATCAACTTCAAAACGTTACGGGTAGTGGCTGACACTGGTCAGCCATTCTAGAGGTGTAGTTCGTTGAAGAACGTCGTATGAACGTTCGAGGGTTGTCAAATTTCCCTTGGTAAAATGTTCATATTTAAAGACAGTTATGAATATATTTCCCTTGAAATTTTCAGGGTTTTTCGGCGAAATTACGAGAAAAATCATCTGGAAAATTGGAAGAAAAATATTCATGAGTTTACCAGGAAATTCGAGTTTTATCAAAGGAAATTTGACAACGCCTGATGGTTCATTCGGCGTTTTTCCTTAGCACGGCCGTCAGTACTCTCTGAAAAAACTGAAAGATAAAACAAAAATTCGGTATCCGAAACTCTGAAGCTCTTTTGGTTTTCTTCAAGATAATTATGATGAAAAGGGAAAAAACTTTGGTTTCTCATCAGGAAACCAGCTCATGAAAATCAGGAAAATAACGGGGAATGAGCACGGTCAAGAATTCTACACACCATGCTTTCACACTTTTTGTAGACGCCTTTTACAGTTAGAGTTGGGATATCTCGGGTCTTGATGTCACCATGGGTGGAGCTCGGCAGAGCAGGGGATTATGCCCTTTCAGAAATCTACTTGGTCTCTCTCAAAAATTGTGAGAGATTTCTGCTAGAAAGTGCGTGACATGGCGTTTGTCTTAGAAATTGCTACTACACCAATTTTCTTGGTGAAAATAGCTCAAAATTGGACGTATTTCTGCTAAACGATACTAAGCGTCAAGGTGGGGAGGGGGAGAAAGGGAGATGGGGTGATGGATTGACAGGTTCATGTGACAGAGAAGCTTCACCCGTCCTACGCTCTCAATGCTTTCTGATGGAACTTCGTTCCGTTTGGCAGAACGCACTATGCGGTGTGTAATGCGTGAAGTATTCATATAGTCTTGTAGGCGCTAGTATGTGCTAAAAATACGTTCACTCGCTTATGAGGCGACTCAATTTTTCAAAATTTTCCCGGGAAGATCCTTTACACTCCCTTTTAGTTAGAGTCAAGGAAATCTCCCAAATCCTCCTTTAGAGTGAGAGAATCATACATATTATTTTATTTATCCATTATGTTGAAGCCTGTTTAAGGCGGGCTTTCACTAATGCCAAGATACGTGTGAAAGGTCTCTAGTTGTCTTTATTTTCAACGTAAACGGTGAATCCTATCACCAGAAAATCTAGAGATAGGGAATACTCAATCCATTTATGTCAGCTCTGAAGTTGTCGAGTCTCCTTGATTTTCTGTCTAGCCATATTTCGTGACTCAACAGGCAAATTGAGGCATTTGGTGTAGAAAGGGAATTTTTTGGCTGCGGTGTCTCAAAATCTTCTCTGCTAATTGGACGTATTTCTGCCAAACGGAACTCTGTGTATTATGACGTGAGCCCTGTTATGCATATATTCTTATGGGTCTCAGGGCTCATGTCTTGATGCACACAGTTCCGTTTGGCAGAAATAAGTCCGATTTGTATTTTAGAGAGGGAACTATTCAGTGAATTTTCTAAAAATTTTCGTTTTCAGCATCATAAAGTTATGAAGAAAATTCAGTAAAAGTTTGAACGAATTCCATTCATTTGCTTTAATTACAACGGATGAAACGTCGGCGGAAATTCGATGACACCTTAATCAAGAAATGCCCTTAATCAACCTTAAAATTTATAGTTATTAAATCGGTTAGTTCTGCTAAATCACCTAAAATATCTATGAGTTGAAGTTAAAAGTACATGAAATAACAAAAAATAATGATTCAAGAATTTCTCACCCTAGCCTCTTTTATACGGCCACTAAAAATGTCGGTGCGGTGAGTACTTTTGTATAGGTCTGTCAGGAATAACGCGATGTTGATGATAATGTCTGAATCAGTGGTGAGGCGTGAATGATCGATTATCGATATTTCCCCATTTGAAGCTATGGTAAAGAATCGATTACTGCGGTGTACGTTGCGAACACCCTGTCTATCGACCCTTTTCCATAGGTTTAATAGTGGCATCTCAGTTGATATATCGCGAAGCACGCCACGCCACTGGCTTCAATCTGTGGGCTAATCAAAATCAAAATGGTGCCCTCAATTTAACCTAATGCAGAGTCTTTTCCTGACGTTCGGTTTTCATTTTTTTCCAACGTCACCACTCGTCGAGTCATCTCGGCGGTAAACGACAACGACGCGGTCTTGAAACCCACCCGCAACAGTTGAGTGACGATGCCTCTCCCGGGACATCTCCGAAACCAGATTTGAGACGAAATTTTCCCGTTTCATCCTTCGCAATTTTGATCGGATGTTTTTCCCGCGTCGCATCGACGGCAACTACTTCCGCCGAAAGTCAACTTCAATCGGAGCTCAATCGACGCGACGTGACGTCCTCTCTTATTTCTCATCTCCTGTAGTTGTTTTTCTAAACTCCGCGTTTCATATATCATGAACTTTGACGCTTCCTCGATGTCTCGTGAATAACGACCTCGCCACATCCCCCACAGCAACTATCAAAGAAAGTTTCCTACACCATCCAGTTTTCATCTTCGCGTTCTGAGTCCCGCTAAGTCTCCTTTCCTTTGCCTTCAATATGCTTTTAAGTTTTTTTAATGGACGCCAATCCTCGCAATAGGTGTTTCCGCTTGCATGGTTGGATCTCTGACTCCAATTCGTCACGAGATTTTTCCGTAGTAGAGAATTTGCATGCATATTTTTTATTGCTTCATCTGAAAGTGCCTAAAGAGCTGATTTCACAGTATTTTTTATACTTTTTTTCTGATATGGAAATTTAAAAGTGAGAAAATACACCGCTCAGTGACGTTATCTGGCAACATTTCCCTTTTAAACACTTGTATCAGCAGATTAGGTCATTTTGTCATATCTCCTCCAATCATTGTTTAATTCATGAAGGAAGGGTATCCTCGTATTCATTTCACTCAGTAGTTTCCACTTAAACATGAAATTCATTAAATTTCAGACACCTGTGAATTCTCCACTCAATTAAATATCATGATTACAGAGGAAAGCATATTCATGGATTCATTGGGAGCCATTTAGGGAACTTGAACCTAAATAAGAATATGATACACAAAGTAGCCCGAATAATTTTAGGAAACAAAACACAAGAAAATAAGAGACCAGAGCTGAAAACTAACAGAATGCCTGGGACGTTTCAGGGTGGTTTCAACCCTCTCCTTGACGAGAAACAAAAATATAAAAATCAGGAAACCCCTCAGAACCCCATTGGTGATAACCGAAAAAAAGCCAAATTTTTCTGGTGACGTCTTCCAAGTAGTAGAGCGGCACGTCTTGGTAACGCTTTTGAATGGCAACGTTCTCGACCAAAGTGAATCCTCCACAAACTGATTGCGGCGGACACACGGGTCGTAAGACAGTATATTGAAGTTTTTTGCCATCGGTCGTTAAAAAATTTAGCATAAAGCTGAAAATCTCAATGCAGAGGGAAAACGCTCATATGTACAAACATCATATTTCTTCGAGGGAAAATAGTGCTCATATGAGCTTTTTCCGCCTGTATTGAGATTTTCAGCTTTATGCTGAATTTTTCAACGCACGTTGGCAAAAAACTCCAACATACTGTCGAATCCTCCAGTAGCTCTTCTTTCCCGATGAAGGTACTCTAGCTTGAATGATGGGCTTGTGGTAAGAAAGGGTTTTGCCACGACGTTACCTCAGTTGGTTCCAGTGGCGTAACTAGAAATCTTCACGCGCCCCCGCCGTTCTGAGGCTGCGCCCCTTCATATCGGAAGTTTTGAGCGGCGCACCCCTCCCCCGCCCGTCTAGTCATTCAGATCTGAATAAATGGGAGAAAATCAAGGTATCGCTATGAGAATAGAAAGAAAAGTGAAGAGGAAATTCAAGTCCCAAAAAAGTATGAAAAAATGTGAGACTTACATGAAATGTTTGCATGATCAAAAATCTGACATGTCAGAGATCAGGTCGCAAATTACCTTACAAAGTCACCTGTGGGAGTGTTACGTACTTGTTCTCCTTGCTTTCCTCTTTCTTTCTTTCATACCTCTCTTTCTCCCTCTCTTCCTTTTCTTTTTCTTTTTCTCCTTCCTTTTCCCGTTTTCTTTTCCCAAAATTTTGTGCCCCTCGCATCGCTGCCCCCCCCTCCCGCCCGGCGGTGGCGGCAGGTATGGTAGTATTACGCCACTGGTTGGTTCTTTGGAAACACTGATGAGAGTGTTGGCTTTCTCCGGGCGGAATCTGAGAAGGCGTCAAAAATAGCATTGTCGTGGCTGAGGGAAACGAAATGGTGGCCGATCAGGAAACAAAAGGGGATTTAATTAAACTTGTCGAGAGGAAGAAGAAGGAGGGTGGCGCCTCCACGATAACGTCGTTGTAACACAACAATGACAAGAAAAGCCTGGCAGCCACGCACGAGACATTTTTGCTCCTTCCCTTACAAAAGAACCTAACTCAAATTTCAAACGAATCCCAAACCGTACAAGGGCACGCCAAAATCAGGGTTAGGCTGGAAATGCAGATACGTCTTTACATCCAAGTTGCTACGATTCCTGGTGCTATTCAAGAAGTGACAAAATTTTAATCATACCCCCGTTCACGAAGCGACGCGACAGTCATTCTGAAATATCTCGTGGAATTCCATATCACTATGAAATTTGAGATATTGCACACTCTCGCTGCTGTTTTCGACGGCGCTTATTTTGCATACTTGGGCACGAGAAACGGGAATCAATTTGAAACACTTTGAGAAGCAGTTGGATAGTAGAGGTTGATGTACGAGGGTCATCCAAAAAGTAAGTTTCCCTACCTTGTATCTTCCGAACGAAAAGAGATAAATCAAATCGATAAAGATGCACATATTAGATATACTCTAAGCTGTAAAACAAGCTCAAGTTTTTGAAAATCGGTCAAGGGGTTCGCGAGTAAACTTAACTTTACTAAGACAACCTCCTGTCGCCGCGTGCCCACCTCCGGGGTCAGGATGCGCGGAGAGTCGATTATAGAAGACTCGGGTTATCGCCTCTAAACATCACATCAACAAGAAATGCTAAAGTTTTCATTGAGTAACTACCTTACTAGTAGTTAGTAGTAGTTACCTTACTTTTTGATGTAGTCTCCACATCTTCTTTGACATTTTTGGTATCATTACAGCAGCTTCTCGACGCCCTCCGCGTGGAAGATCTCGTCTTGGCTCCGAAACTAGTCATTGACAGCGATCTGCACTCCCAAATCAGTTGCTTTGCGTAGGGAAATTTTCCCCCAATCCTTCAAACTTTCGTAATTTAGCTTCATGTGACTTTCATTTGTTCCCGAGCGGAAAAACTTCCACGATGGAAGCGATTTTCAACCGATTCAGAGGTACAGATCGCTGTCAATGACTGGTTTCAGAGTCAAGGCGAAAGCTTCTACGCGGAAGGCATCAAGAAGCTGCTGTGATGATACCAGAAATATCAAACAAGATGTGGAGACTATGTCAAAAAGTAAGGTAAGGCCTACTCAATGAAAAAATTAAAATTTCTTGTTGATGTAATGTATAGAGGCGATAACCCAAGTCTTCTATAATCGACTCTCCGCGCATCCTGACCCCGCAGGTGGGCACGCGGCGACAGGAGGTTGTCTCAGTAAAATTGAGTTTACTCGCGAACCCCTTGACCGATTTTCAAAAACTTGAGCTTGTTTTAAAGCTTAGAGTATACCTAATATGTGCATTTTTACCGATTTGATTTATCTCTTTTCGTTCGGAAGTTACAAGGTAGGGAAACTTACTTTTTGGATGACCCTCGTATTATTGCACCTTTCATCAAGTTTTCTCTTTGAATTTCACCGTAGAATATATGCAGAGCATGAATTAGAAGAAAATAAAGTTGTCTCTTTGACCAAACTAATAAATTGATACGTGCATTTCTTGACCAACTTCGTCCACTTAAATTTCGCCTTCAATTTAGCTGTACAGGCAACGAATCTACAGCGGATCACGAATATCCGGATAACATTCAGTTAGATACTCCCCTTTAGCTTTGAGTGAATTAGTTAACGACGTGTGGAGCCATTGACTGATCATCCTTTTAAATACCATAGTGACAGTATGTATGTTTTGTTTTGTTTTTTGTTTTGTTTTTTTTTGCAAAACACTCATAAATTAATGAAGAAAACTTATCGTCAGGGTCACAAAGTATTAATTACAAAGGCCATAACTTAATTTCAGACAGTAGTAACAATTGATAACAATTAACAGATCAAAACATCCTCAATTTTGTGACCCCGACGATGAAGCGCCTGCTTCTAAAAGCTTCGGTCAAATTTTATCAATAAAACGTAAGTTTTCCAAAAAAATGTTACATTATTTTTAGCACTTTGGTACACTCCACATACCGATATATATTTCAGTGCTATTACCTTTTGGACATTGCGGTAATAATACAATGTTCGCTGAACTTGGGTAATGACAATTTGAGGAAAGTTAAGAGGATGAAGTTCCCCAATAGAGGTTTTTATAGGACGCAAAGTATGTGAGTAAAGCGGTGCTTTTAGATAAGTTTCTCCTTAACCTATGGTCCACTCTTCGAAACAAGAACACTCTGTGACCCTCATTTATTGCCAAAACAGCGTATGCCACTTCAAAATTTGTGGCGAAGCAACCTATCTCGCACACTCTTATAACTCCGATCTTGTAAACTGCAAGCGTGTATCTCTCAAGGATGCGGTAATTTCGCACGGTGTCTACTGGTACCCTATCATTCTAATGGATCACTGGACAAGGTACGAATTTAAGCATTCTGATACCTGTTTCTTAGCCAGAATTTCACGTAGAACATGATTCGCGGAACGAAAATTACTGAAACCAAATCCTAACGAAGGTATTAACGTTTTTATTTCACATTGGTTACGAGGAATTTGAACTGCTCGCTCACAAGAAACTCTAAGCTCTACGTGAATCAAATCCCGCACCACAATGGTTTCAGTAAGCTTCTCAATCGAGCAATGTTCATTTCCCACCATTTGTTGTTCAAACTATAAGCAATTTGCTATAGCTGAGCCAAAGCGTCAAAACTGAGGTTGCCGGATTTTTATACCGCACAGACTGTCATGATCATGTCTAGCGCGCGATGTGAATCACGTAGAGCATTGAGTTTTAATGAGCGGGTGGTTTGAACTCACGCATCAAGAATCATTAAATATCGTTGTGAGGAGTTGATTTCGATAATTTTCGATGTGCGCATCGTGCTCTAGGTGAAATTTTGGTTAAGAAACATACCTCAGAATGCTGAAATTTGTACCTGGTCTAGTGGTCCATTCCTTGTTTTTCCTGGACCATTTCCTTGCTTTTCCCTCACTTGCTCGAAAATTTCTCTCTTTGACGATCCTCAAAAATCCTTGCTGTGTTGCAGGTATCTGATCTCATCCCTATGCGGGGACGCGTGCGACTTCTCACCCTCCGTGGTGGTGGTGGTGTTCTGGGTGGGCTACTTCAACTCGGCGCTCAACCCCATCATCTACGCCTACTTCAACCGGGAGTTCCGGGTGGCGTTCAAGAAGACGCTCCAGTCGCTCTGTCAGACGCTGCTGCTCCTCCTGCCCGGGCGCAAGGGCTGCTGGGGGCGACGGGGCGACGCCAACGCCCTCTCGACGCCGGCCAACCGAAACTGCATCAGCAACAGCAACGTCTCCTCCACGGCCGAAATGAACTACATCAACCACTCCACCATCGTCCGACTCACCACCGACGACGACCTCAAGATGACCACCTCCACCTCCGTCGCAGCCGAGCTCCGACCCCCTTCCTCTGTCGACAGGGTATTCTAAGCTACTTTCCAGTGGCGGGGCGAGCTTTGCGATATATCGATTGTTATGCCATTTAAACCTATGGAAAAGGATCGATAGACTGGGTGTTCGCAGCGAACGCCTTAATAATCGATTCTTTACCATAGGTTTAAATGGCATAACAATCGATGTATCGCAATTCACGCCACGCTACTGCTACTTTCCTCTGTGAAAAATCACAACTATTCAATGATCGAAATTGATAGACGAAGCAGGGTGTCTACAAGTCTGGAATTTCCGGAAAGTCCGGAAATAGTACTGATTTTGTAAGGGCGGCTCGGAAGTACTGAAAAAGTGCGGAAATTCCGCAGGAAGGTCCGAATTTTACTCACTTTTTTGTCATTTTTGTCGCAATTTGAGCGAGAAATTTACATATTTGAAATTTGTCGAATCTCGTCGATCGGAGGTACTGGAAAAGTGCTGAATTTCTCTGTTGAGGAGGTACTGAATTTCTTGGGAATGTACTGAAAAAGTACTGTGAAAGTACTAATTTTTGGCCAGTCTGTTTTAGTGGACACCCTAGACGAAGCTACAAAGAGGGAAGACAAATGGATGGGGAGCGATCCTATCCTGCCTTGCTAAGGAAGAACGACGTATAAGCCTTCAGGCGTTGCCATATTGTCTTCGACATAATACGGATTTCCAAGGAAACTGTTGGTTTTTTTCCTTCCAATTTTTAAGAGAATTTCACTAGGAATTTGATTTGGAGGATATGAAAATTTCGAGGAAAAATATTCATATCTTCCCTCAAAAATTAATGTTCTACGTGGGGAAATTTGACAACTCCTGGTGGTTCATAAGGCGTTTTTCCTTAGCACGGCAGTATCGGTGGAAGCGGGTGGTTGAAATCACGAAGGAGGTAGGCACTAGACTAATTTAAAAAACGACACTTCACGAGTGACCATATAGTTAGTCCATCATTTTCTCCCTTAATCTACAGGAACCACCCATTTCAACGGATAGGGTCGCTCTTTAATCCCTATGTCTCCTTTGTCTATTGCTTTGTCTATAAATTTCAATAATCAGACCGCTGGACGTGTTTATGCTAAAAAGGGATGAAAGACGGGTGGGAAAGAAGGTGTGTGCTGGTTAGTTGAGGGCCGTAAGAATGAATGGGGATTAAGAAGCGCCAGTGACGTCAGCATCCACGACGGAGACCCAAACGAAGACGTGAACACTCATAAACTCATGAGCCCCGGCCATTACGCTGTTGTAACATCCCCACGGCTCATAAGTTAGCATATTATGAAGCTTAGTTCCTTTTGATTTGATGTAAAATCCCACTTTTACCATGTTTCTTATGCAGCTTTCTAGAGCATACCCCATCTTCCCCACACGTCTGTAGTCCTTTCAGCACACATACTTCCAACTCACGGCGAGGGACTGAGATGGGTTGGTTCGGAGACTACAAGATACCGTCTACTAACCTCTTGGCAACTGATAGACAAAGGAAATGGAGCGATCCTACTGGTCCTCTTGCGTCGCAATTGATTGATCTCGAATTTTCATTCTTTACCTACATTTGTCAGATATTTGTGAGGCGGGGTGGATATTTTTTCGGTGTGTCACGTCCGGGGGTTCATAATGGAAATTGATAGACAAAGTGTTAGAACAAAATAAACAATGAAAATGGGAACGGGTGGCAATAGACTAAGGAGGGAAATTATTGACAAGCTTCAGAGTCGCCCTACGAGGTTGCCGTTAATCAGTTTATCGCTTACCACCCTTGTCTATTACGACCACGAGGCTCCACCAACAGGATCGCTCCATTTTTCTCTTTTTCTTTTGTCTAAAATTGTGTCCAGCAATTCCAATAAGCAGCCCGCTAGTAGAACTTTTACTGTAAGGTACTCAAACTTTTTCATAGCCTCTATTCTAACGATTAAAAGGGACATCAATGCGACTATTTTAGTGTCGCTCATCGAAATTTATATCTCCCTATTTTTTATCAACGATCGCAAACAGAGTATCAAAATACGTATATTCGATACTCAGTTCGCAGTACGTGTTATAATCAAAATAGAGAGACGCCTCTAAATTTTAATGGGTGACGCTCAATAGTCCCATCGATGTATGCCATATTTTAATCGCGTCATTTTGATCGTGGAAACAGACCTTAATACAAAAGTACAAGACAGCAGCACTGCCGCACTAAGGAAGAGCGCCGTATGAGCTTTTGAAAGTTGCCATATTTCCTTCACTAAAAACCGAATTTACTGGGAATATTGTGAATATTTTCTTCCAAAGATTTTAGACACTTTTTTTTACGAAATTTAATCTAAAATATCTGAAACTTTCGAGGAAAAATGTGCATACATTTCGTTGAAAATACATGTTTTATGAAAGAAAATTTGGCAACTCTCAAATTTTCATACAGCATTCTTCCTTAACACGGCAGAGCAGTCATTCACCGTGTGTTCACCGTTGATTACCTCAAACTGGGCAGTTGGCCTACCCATTAGTTGGTCGATAAGCTTCGGGTGACGCAATGTGCCAAAGAAGATTACCAAACTTCGGCTTGTTTGCTGAACGAACTCATCCGTAGTCGTTGAAACTTGTGAGGATGAGTCAACAGTTGAGTAACTTTTGAGTCCAAAAAGTAAAAGCTACCACCATTGCCAAGATATCAGCTAAGAAGTCCTCAATGTTTCTGGGTTAAGAAATGTTTGTTAATGTTTCTGGGTTCTGGTCATATAAGAAAGGACTAATCGGGCAGGGTTCGGAACCAAGCATCATAATACATCGATGATAAAAAGTCGCAACTTACGAATATCGATTTGCACAAAATTTGTGATTTCATTCACCATACAGACTAGTGTGTCCGTGTTTGGAATTTTCACATTTGATCGGTAAATCAGAAATTCGCGATTTTCTTGTGTAAATTCACACTTTCCACTTGACAAAATACCAGAGTCTGCGTAGATTAAAATGGGCGCGGATTTTTACTGATTTTACCGTGTCCTGCGATGAAATTCTTTAATTAGGAAGCCGAAAAGTTTATAAGCAATGATGCAAAGCATCAAAGAAGTTCATCAAACTTTCGCTTGTTTCCTGAGGGAAATGCTGCATCAGAGGAAGAGTAGAAACATTTTTAAGAAATTTGACTCTCATCATTCATTGCTCGATAAGTTTAACTTCAATGACCAATTTGACCTAAAATTATTTTAGTTTTCATTTTGAGCGATGGATTTGATTCCATTAAAAATGTATGAGCTGAAATAAATGTCAATTTTTCACTGCAGAAGTGGTACTCGAAATATGTTCAACCTTTTTTGACAAGAAAACGTGTCACACGACACTTACCTTCTCTCTTTTCCTTTCTTCTTCTCTACCTCTAATTATCGCATCGTCTAAAAGACCACTACATTTTGAAGGCTGAGACTTATTAAATGTGAGCAAAGAGTAATAAAGTTTGTCCAAACGGCAAGTCTCTTCATTCTGTCTGAACTGATATGTAATTGCCCTCGAAAAATACAGTGATTGAAAATATTCACCTCGGTAATGTGAACCGTAATCTCTTCCATTTTGACTTTGTTTTTAAAGTACGTTGATCAATCCGTGATAGTGTGGGCATTCTTGATTTATCCAACTAAGCCGAAAAAATAATGCAAGGTCTGCGGTGGATGCCATCAATCACTGTGTTTTTAAGGGCCTTCAATTACGGATAATTGCGTATGCTAATCTACTTAATTAAACCATCAAAACACGGTCAAGCGAATAGCGCATTCGACCCATTTATGTCAAGCTGGTCCTCGGATGATAGCTGGATGCTGGAGTTTACTAGAATAGAGTACTTATCTTTTTCTCAATGACAGGCATTACATGACGCCAGTCAAAATCTCGACGAATTATTTTTTCTAATTCGACGAGATTTTGAGTAGCGTCATGTAAAGTTGTTCACTCAGCAGCAAAGAAATTAATTGAGATCTGTACTTCGTACCCGCAAAATTTGACATGTTAAAATAGTTGAAATCCTTTCTCAAAATTACTTTTGTATCTGTTCTGTAATTACAAATGATTTTTATTCCGAATAATTTGGACCACTAAAAATAATTGCTAAAAGCAGGGGGGGGGGATCCAAAATATGCTTCCAGTGATTTTGAAATTAAGGAGCCAAGGAGGGATCTAAGTTTCTCTCTTCTAGTTAAAGTTTAAAGGAAATAGGTGTATACAAGTTCTGTAATTACTTACTTCCTCAAAGTCACGAAGTTGGATAAGTGCAACATCAAAATTTACTTTTTTGAACCTGACTCTATACGACTGTTAAGCACAACTATTTTCGATTGTTCGCTATATTTCTTTCATCCACCGATACGAATTATTAGAATACCTGATGAGTATGATGCAACGCTCAGTGCTCCTGGAGACTGAAACGTAAAAAGTCCTCTGGGTTTCTTCATCCTTTGGGAGTATTTTAAAACTGAAATATACGCATGTTTTGCCATACCTTTGAGCAAATTAAAAATAGACAAGTGGAAGAGCCCTATTTGACTGCGATTGATATTTATCTCTGATTTTAATAATCCTAAGTGTTTTTCCTCAATCTGAACTGACTGTCCGAACGTTAACCACAAGTGGTATTGTATGCTCTCCGCATTAGGCATTTTAGTAAAAATCAATGACGGCACATTTCATCATAACACGTAGTAAACTTTTATTGATGAAAATAGCCACAGTCAATACGTAATTTCTTTTTTAAAGCGTGTCCATGTAGGGCGTGTTTTTTTTTCCTTTTTTGTTAAATCGTGAGTAACATAATGACTATCACAAATTGGTTATTTTTATATAATCGGATCCCTTATTTTCAAACTGTACAAATTGTTCATTACCTTGTGAATTTGAAATAATTTAGGTTAAGTCATCCTGTGTTATTTCAGGAGTTGATCGAGCTACACCTGATTCAAAATGATGCAATTTTACCTAATAACCGAGTTTCATGTTTTCACAACCCACATTGTACAAAAAAGAGCTTGTATTTATATTACGTGTAAATCCTGTTGATCAGTGTAAAAAAATAAGACTCTTGAGTTTTCTCTTAGAATAAATGTAAAAACAAAGCAATACTTTGATG